CTCCCTGCCACCCAGGAAGAGCCAATGCAAATGTCACGGACAGAAACGCAAGCTTCTCCATGAGCCAAAGGCCACCACCACCTCAACCCGTGTGTGGAATCCCATCCAATAAACAGTGGCGGGCAGAGGTACAGGGCCATCTGGGGGTGCGAGAGGAGCCGCGGGCTTTTCCCTGCCTGCACACTGCAAGCTGGCATGAGCAGGAGGGTAGAAGAATGCGCGGGGTCCCCCTCAGAAGTCCGTGCTGAACGGCCTTCCCCCAGGTGTCTCCAGGATTCCATGGTGGGCTCCAATGCCGGCGGGGTTGGCCCATGTCTTTTCTTGCTGCTTAGAAGTACAGTAATACCTTGGTTTGCGAGCATAATTCATTGCAGAAACAAACTACTCATATTGCAAGACATTGCTCGTTTACCAAGTTAAAATGTATTAGAAATGTTTGCTCGTCTTGCGGAACACTCGCAAACCACGTTACTCACAATCCAAGGTTTTACTGTATATCTATCACCTCTATTACCCTAGGCTACATAAACAAAGTTCCCAGGAAATTCCCCCTTGTCCTCGATGACCTGTAAAACCCACATGGTATCTATAACTCAAACAGCTTTGATAACCCCAGGGTCGCCGACCTGCAGGTCAGGCAGGCACTTTGGGCCAGAGTATTTCAGGGCCACATGGCCATGTCTGGAAGGCCACAGAAGCACATCCAGCTTCGGAGGCAGCTGCCCATCCCATGCAGGGACAGCCCAGCTCACGGTGAAGGCATGCCCAAGTGATGAGGTCAGCAGGAGGGCAGAGGAAAAAAGCAGCACTGCTTGACCCCCTTCAACCACATTTCCTGCTCAGCCTCCAACAGCTGAAGTTCCAGAAATGAGGGGAGGCAGTGAGTTCAAAGACCTCCGGTTTCGAGAGGCCAAAGCCCAGGGCAGCCAGGAGACAGTGCGGCCTCCCAATCGCCCCCACCACTCCGTGCACCACAGTCCCGCCCACTGCCATTTGCTCCCTGCTCAGCCAGCACGCACTGAGGCACTGTGGTTCCTGCAGGCTCTAGAGCCCGGAGCCTGGGGTTTTAACAGGTCCTCTGGCTCCTCCGGTCACCTTGAGCTTGCA